CAATTCTTCAAATTAAAGTTAAAACAATTAGGAACAAGGAATAGAAGAGAAAAAGAGAGGAAATTGAGAAGATATAAACTAAAAATAATATAAATATAATGTAATTATAAATAAAAAAAATTCAATAGCATTTTGATGCGAAAAGAAGGAGGTGAGACAAATAAGGTAGGAGAAGAAAGAAGGAGGAAAAAAAGGAAAAATGATTGCGATATGGAGTGGTGGTAATACATAAAGTATTTTACTTAGGTATTTTTAGTTATAATTATATTTACTAATGTAATTCATATAGACACAAAGTGTGTAATATCCCAAATTTTCTGAAATTCAAGCATTTAAGTTGAGGACTTTTTTGTGAGACAATATTATTTTGGAGCTTATTAGCTAAAATATCCAAACTTGAGGGACTTAAAAGAGAAAAAAATTTGGATAAGGATCAGCTATTTTTTTTCCTTCTTTCTTCTTCCTCACCCGCGCGTCTGCTCTTCTTTTTCTTCCCCCTGCAGCCGAACAAGAAGCAAGCCCGACAGCACCCATCCCTTGAGAAAACCGATAAAACATGGTGATTTCTCCTTTCTTTTCTTGCTCAATAACAAGCTTTAGGACTTAGAACTCTCTCTTTCAACCCAGAAATTCCAGATCTGCTCTGCTCTTCCTCCCCTGTCCACCGGTGATGCTAGGTATGAATTTCTGGGCTTTTTCGGGTAAGCCACAGCCATGAACTTCATCTTTTCAGCTTGATTTAGCTTGGGTTCATTTTAAATCTATTGTTTCTTCAAATTTTGGTAGCCCCATGAGCTTCCCCTGCACTTCCCGCCGGTCTCCCCAAGCCACAGCTCCAGTTTTTGCTGGAATTCTGGTATGTTGACAACTCCTCCAAGCCCGAAATTTATCAATTAATTGCTATCTGTGCTGTTGAATTTTCTTGTTGTAATATGGAAGAACCCGTTTGTTGTTGGCCCTATACTGTTCAGGAATTTCTGTTGAAATAGGGGATGAATTCCGACAGCCTTTGAACATGTTTTAAGTTTAATTCATGTAGAAAATTATCTTATTTTGGCTGCTGTGATTTTTGGAGAAAATCCCGTGAGATTAGCTATGGTTTTGCCAATTTGGAAGTTGCAGTTACTGTTGATTGCGTGGTACTGTTCACGGGTACTGTTCATGCATTAATGGCCAACAATAGGAGGGTTTAAATGTGTAGTTATACTGAGAATAAAATTAAGATGTTTGGTTATATGGTTGAATTTCGTGTGAAGCTCATTGGTTAGTAAATTTGCAAGGTTGTGCTAATAATTCTAGCAAAGTTTGAATGTATTTATTTGAATGTATTTATTTGAAATATTAGGTGCTGTTATGGCTTAGAGCATTGAGATTGAGTCCTCGGTTTATGCGATTGAGGTAAGTAAATTATGGTAACGCCCTTCGATTTCAAAGCATGTTTTGAATTGTTTTTGAGATGGTGGCAAGGTTTAAATTGATTTTATTAGCACCGAACATGATTGGTTTGAAATGAAATTGTTTTCATTTGCATTGAGTAGAGCATGCCTACTTGGAATTGACTGAACTGCCTTGATGAACTGAGAATTTTGTAAATTCTGATTTTTCTGTTAAATCCATGCTCACATGGAAATTTTCTAGTTTATTTTGAAATTTGAGATTGATTGTGAATTATGGATTTTTCTGTAAATCTTGCATGGTTTTGTCTCTGATATAGTCATGATTACGGACGCCCGCCAGTGGGAGTTTGCAAACGCTGTCACATGTCGACATGTTTACTGATATGACCGGTTTATTCTGTAATCCTGCCAATGGGATAATACATTGATAATTTCTGATGCCTACCACTGGGCGAATACATTGGTAATTTCTAACGCCTACCACTGGGCGAATATATTGATAAATTCTGATGCCTGCCAATGGGCAAACACATTGGTAATTTCTGACGCCTTCCAGTGGGTGTAAACGCTGGCCATGACTTATAGATGAGACTACTACTGAATTTCTTCTGCATTAACGATTTATCATTGAACGCTTTGTTATTGAACTGAATCTTATTCTGCATTAACGGTTTATCATTGAACGTTTCGTTATGTTAAATTGTTTATCAGGCATGTTAAAATTTTACTCACGGGCTATCCATATATTTACTTACTGAGATATTTTATCTCATAGTCTTTCCTTGTCCACCATTTCAGGAGGCGAAGTCAAGGACAGGGAAAAACGAGGAGAGTGACGAGTTAGAAAGCTAGCCACCTGTAATTTGATATAGATTTTAGATATAGATCATGATCTTGTAAGTTAGAGTTTAAATGGGAGATTTTATAAATTCATTGAATGGATTGTTAGTTTACAAGAGATTTGACCTTAAAATTTTGAGTTTAAGTCATGTTGAACATGGAATTATTTTGAAATATTTGATTTAAGTTATTAGATTGTCAGATGTGAATTGGATAAGTTCCGAGCCTTGTGCATTTGTAGGACCCTCTCACAAGTGCACGGCGTCTGTTATGTCCTCGGATTTGAGTTTTGGGGCGTGACAGAGTTTTGGGGCGTGACAAAGTGACTTTCAACGGGAGTAGAAAAAATATAAAAATTTTAAAGTCTTGCCTTTTGTTTACTGACAATATTGGAGTTGATAACTCAAGTTTTCACCGAAGTTAAAAGTGCATAATTTGACATCCCTGCCACTCATTATCGAGAAGGTGATGGTAGCAGAAAAGGCAAAATACCGACAAAGTTCTTGTCGGTATCTGGTGGGCTTTCTTTAATTAAGTTAACCCTATCTTAATAATAAGAAGAATACATTATATCCACTGACTCATAGCTACCGGTGCCAAAAGGCCTCCTGGGTATCATGCGACAAACAAAGGAATCGGCTACTCCTTTATCACTTGCTTAGCTAGAAAGCGTAGACGCACGAAGGCGCAATCCAAGCGAATTAGGCAGCTCCCGTCGTTTTGAAAAGACTCGAGGAGCCACTCTTGGTGATAGTACCGGTACTATCACATTGCCATCACCGAGAAGGTGATGGTTGCAGAAACAGCAAAATATATATCGACAAAGTTCTTGTCGGTATCTGGTGAGATACTCACCGAGCAAATACCTGTTGAAGGTTGATCCTATTTACAAGGCGACCTTCATTGGTAAGAGCAGCTCTGACCACCAGCCTCCAGGCTCAATATTATCAACAAGATTCACGTTTGTATATTACAAATTTATTGATAAAGTACTCATCTAAACTTTAAATAATATAAATTAATATTAAGTTAACTGTTTGGCTTTGTGCAGACATAGCTTCTGTTAGTAAAGTAGTAGTTCTCTGATAAAAGCTTTGACGTCGGTGAGTTTTTGGTCGATATTTTGAAGTTCTCCAGTAGTGTTGTAGACATGCTGATCTTCATAGACTTGTCAAACACACTCTTTAAATTGAAGTAGAGAGAATTAGTTTGTTCATACTTCTGAAACACTTGAGGTCAGCTTGTTCACGCTTTTATTGTTTTGCGCATCATATTTTGAACTTCTGACATTAGTTTATTCATGCTTGAAATGCTTCTAACAGTTTGTTCATGCTTTTCTTAATCGGCGTTGGGTGAAAAAAACCACCATGTCTGTCAAATGCAACTTTGATTAATTTGATTGTGTAATTTTTGTAATTTTTTATTAGTTTTGATATAATGTTTCACAATGAATACGGAACAACTCAACTTTTTCTTATTCCTTAATCAACTCAGCTACATGTCTTAGTACAATTCATATTCAGGCTAAAGCCTTTTAATTCCTTTGCCATCTTTTTTAAATAAAAACACACCAAATATATTAATAAACAAAAGTTACAAATATAATTTCATAAAAACCATGTAAGGAAATGAATCAAACCTACAACATTGACAATAAAAAATAATACCCCTGCTACAAATTTGATAATTTGGATCAAATGGTCATCTACTGCTAGCATCTACCACGTGTGCCGAATGAGGACTGCAATCAATCCAGGCCCATATTATACCAGGAAGACAGAAGTTTAACGACGGAACATAGTTAGAGGGTGTTAGGTGAAGCTT